ATTATCAACATTTTCATGATAATACTGTAAATCAAACTCGAAATTTCATAATAACGAATCATAAATGATAAGTGAATGTGTTAATAAATGTACTAATTTGCATGTATCATGTTTGAATTATGGATTAAGAAAGATTAAAGATCATCTATTCCTTTCTGATTACAGTATCATCATCATTGCATAGAATTATACATGTGCTCATTGTCCAGCAATGTACCAACCCTAAGAGCTCTATACAAATGTCAGTTAACAAAGAATGTACTCTATCAGCATAAGCCAATAAATGTCGTTAATCTTTGTCATCGTGAAATCTCTGTCTTTGAATAATTTACCGGGGTAGATAGCAGGAGGACATTCTTCTTTTCCTATATTCTCCAGATTGGTGTCTTCGAAATTTATCTTATTTGGAATTAGCTTTGCGTGTTAATTTGTTTCTTTTTCCATTTCATAAATCGTAAACACAAAATCCATTTAATGTATGATTGATTCAGTCGCCTTAATTGTTTATATATAAAATTTATTGAGCAATCAATCGATCATTTATCATTTATATCATTTGTATTATCATTTAACATTTACAGCGAAACATTTACTAATACTTTTGCTTATTTTTATTTATTAATTCGAAGTAACAATTCACACGATAATTAACCTCATAATTAGACTCTCCAATAACCTTCTTTTTTATTCGGTTATCACGTTTACCTTTATGAAATAAATACCTATTGATTATTGATGATTTATAAGAATTTATCATATTACGTCAAGTATAGTATTCGGTGAAATTATCAACAAATAATGCTAATATTTCCGATATTAGCATCATTTGTAAATGATTCCTTTCGTAGAGCATTATTTGTAGATGGTTCAGTTTAAAAGATTTTTGTAACAAAATGGAAAAAAACACTCTGATGGAGGCTTATAAGTTGATAGTAATATATGATCGATTGAATCACTTAAATTGTCCTTATATAAAATTTATTGAATATCGTTTATATTATTATTTAACAATTACAACGATTAGTTAAATTAATCGTCAAATTATCGAACTAATTGATAAGTGACAAACGAACAAAAAAGAAATCTTCAGTTTAAATTATATGCAAACTATTGAAAACTAACAAAATAAAAGGAAAATGTAAGCATAAAGCAATGGATATTTTTTCTGCATACGTCACAATTAAATATTGAAAAGAAAAAGAAAAAGAAAATTTAAAAAAAATTTTCGCAATAGTATAAAAAGAATTGTTGATTTGAATACACTATAATGGTTAAAAAATTTTTAATAGTTCAATTATTTACCGGAATTGCTCTAATTAGCATGTATTATAGGTGTGCATATGAATTGTTTGATCGGAAATGAAAATGTATACCAAATATAGTAATGTTAATTTCCGGAAAAAAATGACAAGTTATTCCAAAAAAAGTAAAACTACTGCTTGGCGCTATAATTTTTTAGTTTATGTGAAATATCAAGAATTCCACTATGCTTCAATATTGATTGAAGTATTATTATTAAATGGTGCTGATATTGATTAAATAATTAATTAGGAACTAATTGTGAAAAAGGATGAAAAAGCTAAATCAGATTTTTTTTTGCCGAAGAGTTTGCTTATGCCGCACAACTAGTTAACGAATCTTACCTAATAGTAGCATTTATATATATGTAAAATTGGCCATCAAATAATACATATAATATAGGCATCAAATAACATACAATCGGATGGCAAGTAATAAACATAATATGGAGTGCCGCCAAATTTTTCCGCAGTTTTTACCACGAACTATGTGTTATACCATTTTGATAGTGAGTAAAACCACCATTGTATGCTTAAATTACTTTGTATAATGAATGTAATTTTGACCAATGCATATGTCTATAGTTTAACTTTCTTAATAAATATATTGTTTATTCGACTTTAATGATAAATTCAAATTTACGCATGTTATATTTTATCAATTGACAAGTTTTTATTTTGGTATGCTTTGTTTATTCATAAATTACGCTTCCTAATTAAGACGAATTTCAATTAGTTTCTGATTAAAGTGGAAAATTCTTGCATTTTTGGAGTATATTGCGCAGTGTAACACAGGGTTGCAAATTTCTCGTTATTTTCACCTCAAACTTGGGTAATTAAACCATTCGATAAAAAAACATTATTCATATCGCATAATCATTAAGAATTACAAAACACAAATTAACGCGTAAAGCAAACTCCAAAATGTCTTTATGAGATAAATTTCAAAGACACCAATTTTTGGAAAATAAAAGATTGATATCCTGCTGTATATATTTGCTTATATAAAAAGGTTTTATTTACAGCATTTAGAAAATTTAGAACCGATTGAACCTAAAGTTGAATTGAGGACCTTTACAATATGCCAACGTTGGGAAATCCTTCTATATAAAATTCTTCGATAATTCTTACAAGACAAAAAAGAAAGTTAATATTTATGGCCAAATTTTTTTTTTTCTCTATAAGATTTATAAACAGAAAGAAGGGAAGGGAGGAAGAGAGGGAAAAGATAAATAGGATGGATAAATAGTTTTAATATATTGCAAGCAGATAGTTTTCATTGGTGGCAATATATTTCGAAGTCATCGAGGAAGTTGGCATCATCGGGGATGCTAACAATACTATCGTCGATGTTAACATTAAAAGATGTTACCATCGGCGTTACCGGTGTTAAGCTTTCCGATGTTAATATTTTCGATGTTAACAACGTTATCGGGGATGTTAAGACCGTCGAAGATACTACCATCGGACTTGTAGAGGATGCTTATCATTTGAGTGATCTTATTGATCTGCTGAACTTTGACCGGCAATGTGATGGTTTCGTGTGTTTGCCAAAGCAGATCTCAACTGCCCATTTCCTTCTGTTGGACCTAGAATGAACATTTCTTAGACATCACTTCATTGTGCCGAAGGAAGTGTCTCCATGGTTACAGCTATTTCGTAACACATTCTCACGTGCATTCATTTGAGGTAGATAAATAAGTGCTGAAAGTGCCAAAGTATGCTCGAATTTCAAATCTCCCTCTGCTTGGCCTACAATGAACATTTTTCAAATGCTTTTTCACATCCCCGAAGGAAACATATTTTTACGTGCATTCATTTGAGGTAGATAAATAAATGCTAAAAACCCTACTGAATTTGCAAAACTGAGCTCTGTGGGAATATATATTTCTCTTTTCTCAGTGATTGCTTAAAACTGAGGAAGTTTTTACTGTGTTGTGAAAAATTTTTTATCGAGTCGTTTAGATTTAGAAGGTTTAGCCTTGAGTTAGGATCAAACAGAAATTTAATTAAAGGGTTACCTTGTGAGGACGTCGAATATACGTTGTGAGGACACAGAGTAAAAATTACTGCCTTATTGATATAATACAGAGCTGATCAGTGGGATTAGTGAAGAGTAACCAGTAGGAAATCGTTCGACCGTGAGTCAACGCAACCATAAGTA